TCCCTCCCCCCCTCTCCCCGTCCCTCCCTCCTCCCTCCAGCCCTCCCATTTCCCTCAGTCCTTCCTCTCTTTTTCTCCCCTTGACTGCTTTGTGATTCATCCCCACTGCCCTTCAACCTATCTCAAGCACATTACCATGAGAACCATCTCTCCCCCCTCCACCATCCTTCTCCCGCCCTCCCTTCCTCCCCCCCTCAGGCATGGGAGGCGCCATGGATTTGGTCGGAAGTGGGAATCGGGTGGTCGTCACCATGGAGCACACCGCCAAGGGTGATAGCAAGAAGATCTTGAAGAGCTGCACGCTGCCCTTGACTGGGCCCAAGGTGCGAGAGGGAGGGCGGGAGGAAGGGAGGGAAAGGGACGTGGTATTGCTGGGCTGTCAACATTTCTTCTAAAAGCTCTTCACGGCGAACAGGTGGTGGATAGGATCATAACAGAGCTCTGTGTCTTCGATGTCGACAAGGTTCGCGCCATTTTCCCCCACTCCCTTCACTCCCGGGGCTTCTCTGTTGTCTTCCGTAATGCCTTCCGATCTATTTGGCTGTAATACGCGCAATTGATAAGGATCTTGGTCCTCCTTTTTTGTTCCTTATCCCTCGCTTTACCTATACGTCTTCGATCGTTGATTTCTCTGTCTCATTCCCTCCAATATAGCCGTTTTATTCTTTCTCCTCCGCCCCCTTCGTTCCCTCCTCGCTCACTTCCTCGTGCGCCCTCGTTTTCGTGTCCCCGCTTCCTTCCTACATCACGCAATTTAAAAAGTCTCTTGGCATCTACTTTAAGATCTTCGATTCATTCCTCCCCTCCCTTCCTCTCTCTTCTCCCGTATGTCTTAGGCCAAGGGCGAATTGGTCCTGACGGAGATCTTTCCAGGGGTGACTGTCGACGAGATACGCGCCAAGACCGACGCCGAGTTCAGGGAGGCGAAAGGAGGACTAAAAGTGGTCCAATTGTAAAAAAAGGGGGAGTGGGAAATGGGGGGCTCGACTGGGGTGTCAGCTGCTGGTGGGAGGGTAAAGAAATGGGAAGAAGCAGAGAAATTTGGGGGAGAAGTAAGGCGGAAGAGGCAAAGGAGTGGAGACCTCGCGTAACAGGGCGACCTGTAAATGTAGTGGAGGAAAAACCGATCGTATTTTTACAAAGAAATAAATACACAGAGGCTTAGCGCTGATGTGTCCTAACGAAGAAGGAGCGAGAGGAAGAGAGCGCGACATGTACAATACCTTCGGTATCGACTTCTTCGGACAAAATTAAAAGTCAATGGGTCATTCCTGATACGAGAATGTCGATGTGACTGACAAGAACCTCTGAAGCCAGAAGATGTTTAATCAAAACGTCCCTTGGCACGATTAGCACCACATAAGTTATTTGGTTTGCGACAGTCGTTGCCCACTTTTCCCAGAACAGACGAAGACAATGACAAAATTCCAACCCTAAGCCTGCACATTTCCAGAGGATAATTCCGTGTCATCTGTCGTGCGGTCTAATTGTTAGAAACTATGCTTTTATCGGTGCAGCCGAAGCCTGCCACAGATCAACTCCTTTCTTTTCTCGAAAAGGTGCAAAAAAAATCAGCTGACCTGCATAAGCTAGCTGAAATATCAATATTATATTGTGTTTATCGTACAGTGTGGTCATAGCACAATTAGCAGCCTTATAAATGGGCAGTACGCAATTCAAAACGCCGTTACTTTGCTCTCTTCAACTGGCAGAATGTCAACGGTAATTCTAACCTTCACACTTCCATAAAATAGTTCAAACAGTGCTCAAGCTTAGAATTAATCATGTTTCTCCATCCTCAACGTCTGCAAACCCCAGATTATTCAGCTATTTGCAGTTTGGGGTTTTTTCCAGGGCCAGGGGGTGGGGAGGTTAGTTGACTTGCGTTCCGATCTTTTAGAGCGAGCCGGGCGGCTGACTCACACGCCCTCGATAGACATTATCTCCATGCACTTTTCACCCCTTTCGTGAGATGTAGCGTGCACCGCTCCTTTCGTAACTATGTGTCTTGACAGGGTGCATGAGATACACCCGTGCAAGCGGGGACCCCATGAGCTGTGAATACGAAATGATAAGTCTTAGGCAGGGGCCGGTCACTCGCTTCCTCTCCCTTTCCTTTGTTCCACTCCGCGAGCGCCCACCATTTCAGTGCCTAACCACGGCTTCTATACCACACACACCGAATTTTAGGTCTTAGCATGTCACGGCTATGTGCAAAGCCGCTTTTCCTCCTTTTGCTTCTCCCATGCATTGCTTCCGCCTTCCTCCTTCCATTTCCTCGTGCCTCCATTCCTTCCCGTTCACCGTCCGTCCTGCTCTCCTCAGTGGAAGGAGCTGATTATCCCTCCGACACCGCCGACCCTGAACCCTCTCCGGAAGCGCGTGAAGGGAACGCCACGGTCTTCCCCTCCTTTACCGACGAGGGCAAGGTCCAGCTGCGGGAAAAATTTAAGTGCCAGATCTACAAGGCCGCTGCCCGGCTGAACCGCGGTCAGCTGGCGAATTTGGATCAACAGGTACGACTTCATGACCGAGTAGTCTTCAGCTATAGTTGAACTTTGCCTGCAGCCCTCATACCACCTTTGTTTCGACGATGCATTGGGGTTGCGGCATGTCGAAAATGAGGCCCCTGTGAGACTTCCTTGGTACAGGCAGTGTCCGATTTCTCATTTCTTTTACCTCCGGCCTCTGCCCTGCTTGCTTCCTTCCCCTCCACTCGCATCACACCTTCCCTCCTCTGCCACCTCTGTCCGCCCTATCGTACTCGTCAGAACGAAATGAGCAATTTGATCGCTCAGTTGGAGGCCATGGGGTCCGGGCGTCCGGCCGAGACCGAGGCGGTGGAAGGGGTGTGGGAGCTGGTGTACTCGGACG